GCAAACAAAAAAGTATGTGTTGCCCCTCTTAAAGATATGGCCTGACTAATGATTTTGAAAATTTTGGAATAGCGAGGTTTAATTCATTTTATATTTAAATAAATCATGTCTTGTCTCCTTTTCTTCCCCCAATCTCCTTTTCCTTTTGTATCTTTTTTGAACTTGTTTTATCTGAAAACCTCTCCAGAAGCTTTTTCAGATACAGACCATGGTATAGATTTACTTATTTCATTTTTCTTTACTTCATATGCCACTTTCGCCCAAAAAACTAGGTCCAGAGATAGATAGGTCACAGCAGGATTAAAATCAAGCCAAGATAAAATGTTTTAATGAGACAATAGATACAACCAAAAATGGCTGTTTCCAGATTGGGAAACAGATTTACTTAGCAACATTATGGAAGTTAAAATTAAAGGTGGGATCACACAAACTTCAGTCTTCCTGGAGTATAGTAATTTAAAACTAAAAATGTGATCCTATGCATGCCTACTTAAAGGTAAGTCTTCTAAATGTCTGAATCTGACCTAATACTGTGCAGATTTATTTAGGGTTATTCTCTAGTCAGTGGGGTTTTATTTCCTAGTAAACATATTGTCAATGTAGAAATTATGGTTCATGTGATGTGACATGAAACATCACAAAATATGTCATAATGTTAAAAATTCAGCACACAGCAGTCTTTTAGGCATGGAAGCAAATTTTTAGGACCAGTATGCTACTTGCTGAAAACTCAAAATATGTTCCTAGAGCAAATTTGCCACTAGAGGGAGTATGTTTTTGTATTTTTTTGTTATACATAATGTGAATATTCTGCATTTTAAAAATCTCTACAACTTGTTTTCTGAGTTTTGTACCCTGATCCTATGAAAAACTAGATGTGCTTTAATTTATCAATTTCTGTTTCTCCTTTTGCAACAATATACAACAACACACAAGAGCTACAAAAGCTACAAGCAGAAGTACAAACAGTGCCAGGGTGGAAAGAGGTGACATATACATCCACAGACAGTGCTGTCATACAGATTCATGTATTGTATGAAGAATTTGACCAGGACATTTATGTCTAGCCAGGTGATAAAAAATGCCCCCCCAATTACAGTTGTGTGAGAGGTAGGGTCATGTGATAATTGTGTATGCAGTTCCTATTTACATACACAGTAAGTTAGCCACCTCAAACTGAGCTGCTGAGAGCAATAATCTGATTATGGCCTTACATGGCAGCATCTCTTTTTCTCCCACAAAGATTGATAACGTAGGCAGTGCTCGGCCATGTTTTATATATCGTCCAGTAATGATAGTGATGAGCTGTAACAGTTCCTTGCAAAAGACAGAAACAGCCTCGTAGCTGAACCTATATGTTTAGTAACCCCATTCCCTACAACTCCCCCAAGGGAATCAGGCCTTGTTAAAGAGGTGGACATGGAAAGCTGGCATATGCCAGCTGAAATACTGTTGCTTAGCATAAGAAAATATGTAACATTCAGCCTGTTCCTAGCTGGCAAAGAGCAAGTCCCCACTATGATGGGGACTCATAGTGGCATGCAGACGCATGCTTACTATTTGCATGTGCATGCACCCCAAGAATCACAGCAGAAACACATTGTTTGCCAGCTAGCAATGGACTGAATTTAAGTGCCTGTTCACTCATTCATTCAATTTATATCACCCCATAGTGCGAAACGCTCTCTGGGCAGTTCACAACATAAGCGTACAAACAATAATAAGCAGTACAGTGCAATATGCTGGTACATGTTATCAGCAATAAAATCAAACCTAACCACTACACTAGCTAAAGCTATTTTTAGAAAAATAAACATGGCATTGGGACATCACAGGTAACTAGCACTAATAAAAAGCATCTTGAAACAACTGGGTTTTAAGTAACTTTTTCAAAACAGAGAGAAGGAGCCTGGCGAATCTCTATAGGAAGTTTATTCCAGAGCCCAGTTCCTGATGTTCACTCCTTTGGCCTCTGATGTTGCCATTTTTAACATCTTGGACTGTGAAGAGTGAGTGGGACGGATTGTAATTGTTTTGTAGGAACGACATTTCAACTGGTTTTCTAGGTATGATTTCAGGTAATTTACTTTGAAAAATAAATGTATTTATCAGCTTTTGTCAACTTAGTGCAGTTTTAGCAGGAGAACAGCAGGAGCAGTTTGCAATAAAAAGATTAGCTTTGGAAATATCTTCATTTTAATTAAAGCTATTCTGCCTAAACATGATCGAGTCATTTTATTCCATTTTGCAAAATCATTTTTAAAGATAATCTCTAAAAATGTAATTTAAATCTGTTTTTTCAAGAGCTGTAGAGATATCACTTAAAAGTATTTTATGAATTTTACATTTGTATTTAGTCCTGTAGATATATATATATATTTAATTTCAGGAATATATATTCATGCAGAACACTGCTAATCCATTGTAATTAATTTGAAGCTCAGTGACTACTACGTTAAGTAACAGATTCCATCCACAAAAACTACTAGTCATTCTAACCCAGTTTATTCCCATACTTATTGATTTCAGTGAATTTAGATGGTTCAGACTGCACAGGAAAACAACCAGCAGCTGGATAATGAGCAGCATTTTTATAAACAAAGCTTACATGATTTCCCTTACTCAGGTGTAAATTGGCAGGATTCTGGCCATAGTCTGAGATGTTGCCCAGAAGTAATCATGTTGTTGGAGCCTAGGTTCTTAAAGATCAGGAGTCCCAGCTTAGTGTAGTTGACATAAAAAGATACAACGTCAGTAGCTCTAATGGTATACTTAAGCACTGAATGCTATGAAAATTATGACTTTCTTTCCCTGTTCTTCCTCTGCAACTCTCCATGGTGACAGGAAACTGATGCAGAGGGTTTCGTAATCTGGAGCAGGTTTGTAAAGTGCATGTCTCCTATGCTGGCAGAAGCGAGAAATCCAGCAGATATGCCTAATTAGATCAGGGCCAGGATGTTTTGCATTACTGTAGTGCCTTAGCCTCATTTATCATCTGTCACCTTTTCTGAACTGTCATGAGATTCCCAATCAGATTAGTTTAAAGTCCAGTAAATATTCATCCTTTTGTATCAATTGACATATTCTAATCAGTTTGGCTATGGTTAGTATTCTCTCCCCATCATTTAAATTAAATCAGAAGTATAAAGGGTTTCTTTTCTTTTGCTCTTTCTGTGCTGGCAATGTGCTTTGTTTTATTTTTATTCCATGCCTGAAAAAGAAAATCTTTACAAGTCTTTATAATAGTACACTTACAGTATGTTGAGAGGACACCTTTGTGTCAAAACTGCCTTCGTGTCAAAACTGCAGTTTCCATGCATATACATCTAAGTTTAGTTATTCCCTCTCTTTGTCTGAAGTTCAAAATGTTGTCAAGTGTAGCTCTGAGGTGAAGTTCAGTATAATGGAACACCATTGACCTTCAGGATGATTTAGACTCACTGAGTTCACTATGTGTACTACTATCCACAGCTCTTAGCTTCCTTGTACACTTCTGTGTACAAGGCTTTATTGTGTACAAGTGACAGACTTTATTTTCTTGGGCTCCATGATCACTGCAGATGGTGACAGCAGCCACGAAATTAAAAGACGCCTGCTTCTTGGGATGAAAGCGATGAGAAACCTCGACAGCATCTTAAACAGCAGAGACATCACCTTGCCAACAAAAGTCCGCATAGTCAAAGCTATGGTTTTTCCTGTAGTGAGGTATGGAAGCGAGACCTG